ATACAACTCTTTTCATCTAGAAAAACTGGAATGATTATTGATATCGCTCATTCATCAATATTGTAACCCTATGATTTAGGTATTTTGCCATCTCTTGGGCCTATTTTATATATAGCTGTATGATCCTCACTGACCGAACTGTCAGTGTTTCTACAGAAATTCTCATTAATGATTTATAGCCAAGTTTTGGAAAAAAGTTTTATAGGGTACCTATCTTGCATACGTTGTCGGCATATTAACAAACCTAGAACGACGATTTGGTATATCGAGCAAGAAATCCGGTTCCTTGTTATCATTCTATGATATTGGCCATACTGTTTCTGTGGTACTGATTGGCTTTCTGGCCAATGATAAGCATTTACCCAGGATTACGGCAACAGGTAGTAGCATTTCAGAATTCTGATTCTGTGTCAATTATCACATCTCCTTATGACTTGCACCTTTTCCTTATGGATTGAATGCATAGCTGTTAGCCTAATTGCAGGAGTATTACTTAGTGCTGTATCAATGTTTGTACTTGCCTTACCGATGTTACTATTTGGAGCCGAATCATCCGATGAAGCATCGCTATCACATGAAGTTAGTTCTTGTCTCCATTAATGCTCTTATTTTGAAAATTTTCATGGTGTAGGAATGGTTATTTATTTGACTTTTTTTTTTAAAATTCAATCATCCTCTGAAATTGGCGAAGTCTATATACGGCTTACGTCATATTGGCATTAACCTTTAACCTTTCTTCTAACAAAACATGCTTGCGTCTTATTTACTAAGAATTTTCATTGGTTTTACAGCACGAATACATTCTCAGAAATATTTGTGATCCAGCTCGAGTTATTAACAGCGCAGAGAAAAATTGCGAACTTCAAGAGAAAGAGCATTTTTGGGCCTTTTGTATCTTGATCATTGGCCAAATTCTAGCTGGTATTGCTGCTGCACCTTTCAATACGGTGGCTTATGTTTACGTGGACAATAATCTGGAAGATAAGACAAAATCACCGTTTTACTTGAGTATTTTTCAATCTTTTTTTATTTGCTGGAAGCAATGTTATTCATTGTTTCTTCACGAAGAATAATATGATGTAAAAATTGGAATCTCATTTCAAATCTCAATACGCTTACAATCTTCTTTGAACATAAGAATTCAAAAAAATTTTGAGTGAAACTTTAATCTTAATTTTTTTTTTTTTTTGAAAATGGAAGATTACCTTACAAGAGCTAAACACGCTTGTATTGCTGTTACAGGCTTATTATCCAGCATGTATGCATTTGCGCCAGCTTTTGGATTCGCATTAAGTGCAGTCATTACAAGGTTATATTCGACTATTTTTGACGGTAATGCTTCTAAATGATATTTAAAAATGAATGTCTTACTTATTAAAAGCTGAAGATTTATGCATTCCAGAAATGGATTGTTTATTAACGTTGAATAGTGGACTGCAAAGGGCTAAAAAGGACATTGTTCTTTTTTGGAGATAGTTTGTGATTTGGCTGAAATACTTGGCTTAAACTTTTGAACTTTTACTGTAGTGCCTTCAAATGTGTCAGTTAATAACGATGAATGGATTGGAGCTTGGTGGCTTGGTTTCGTCATCTTTGGTTTATTTTACTTAGCTGCTATTGTTCCACTACTTTTCTTCCCAAAAAATCTGTTAAAGCACGATTCAAGTTCGTTCGAAATGCAGCAACTGAGGTTAACTTATTTTTGCTATATTACGTCAAACAAATTTGTTGATGAGATTATTCAGTCATGATATGGCTTAACATGTTTATAACATGATTACTGTAATCATTAGTTAAGGTAAAGCGATAATTAAATCTGCAAAAACCTAGAGGATAGAAATCGTTCTATTTATTGTATTTGAAATAGGTTCATTTACCTACCTTTGTTCTTATTTTGATTGTAGAAATAAATGCTCACACGATCATGATGACCATCAGCTGTCTCTTTTCGGATATGACGAACGACTGAAAGAAACATTCTGCGGGCAGCTTAAAGCGGCTGTAATAGGTATTATTGACTTCATCCTTCATAATTTTTTCCCTCAATTACCTCAGTATTGAAGTCTTGACTATTTGAAAACTATTTGATAATGTTAAATATTCCTAGAATTTCCGGGACTGGTAAAGAATCGTGTATTCATCTCGATGATAATTGGATGGATGTTTGGCTCATACCTTACTAGCGGTTATTGCACTTATTTACCGAAATACATCGAAACACAATTCGGTCATAGTGCATCGGTTGCCGACACTTATGCTGGTAAATTATTGCTAGTACGAAATATTTCTCTCTAAGATAAAAGAGATTGGCTGGAACCTGAGCGCAAGCAATTTCACATGACCCGTTGTAAAACTTATATTTGTTCAATTTTAAAATAGTAACATTTGCAGGCATAGTATCAATTGGTAGTATAGCGGTTAGCACAGCACTAGGTGGTTATTTGCTGACGAAGTTCAATCCATCACCTCGAAAAGCGCTGCTTTTTTTGATTGCTACTTGGTTCATCATTGTAATCACTTATTTGGTCGGTGCTATAGTTGGCTGCAACGCGCCACAAGTGAAAGAACTCCTTATTGCTGCTATTAATCAGTTAGTGATATTTCACTACCAGTTTCATTTCATCTCAAGTTGAGGTGTTTAGACCACTTTTTCTTACGTATCATAATATTTCATTACTATTCGAGCATTCTTTTAAAATTGCTTTCAGAGAAAAATTCATCGATAAGTTAGAATGTAGTTTTGAGTGTCAGTGTACTCAAGTTGATTTCTTTAATCCAGTAAATCATCACGCAAGGAACTATTTCTCACCTTGTCATGCTGGTTGTCGCGAATACAATTCTCACTTGCAAAAGATATGTTTCAATTTCTGTTTTTATTCAATTTGTATATTCTTCTCCGCTATAGATTTATAACTGTCACTGACTGCTCAACTCCCATCAGCAACTTCTTTTAGTAGCTAAATGAACGATGTTTAATTATCATATTTAAGTCTTCTTATTAAGAATTTCTAGTAGATTCTTAGTCATTTCGTTACATTTGACTCATTGAAGGGAGACTTATAGCAATGGTTAGGATTTTAAATTCCAATGATGATTCTATCTACTTAAAAGATCTTCAGAAGTCAAAACTTTGCTACCAGAAGAAATCTGCAGATTTTTCGTTTTTAACTCATACGCTAATATTCCTCTTCACAACTATTTCTTTCAATGCTAAAACGGCATTATTTCTTTAAAAATCTTATTCTCAAACAAAAAAAAATCTTATCCTTAATATAAGCTACAGAATTTCTGGCTATCTTAATATAAGCTACAGAATTTCTGGCTATATTATTATTTATTTCAGTGGGACTTATGCTTATGTGCTGATAATGGTCCGGTTGAAACCGGTTTATACACGGATGAATGTAATGCAATATTCATTTATATTGCTAGCATGTTTATGGGCTTATTTCTTGGCAATTTATTTTTTATGACAACAATGATGATTGTATTAAGGTTTCTTTGTTGTGAAATTTTATTTGAATAATATTTGAACAATAGGTAATTTATACATTCTGATTTATTATTTAAAAGAAACTAAATTTTTGATATTGTCTTTATGATAGTTATCTACCAACATATAACAAAAGTCCACAAAATTGAACTTTGTTTCACTTCCCACTTGCTATCAGGTTGGAGATCAGGTATATTGCAAGTGTACAGCGAACTATTCGTATTCAGAGTAAGAACTTAGTATTGAGAATAATCCACAAACTGTACTCGAAAAATGAGTTTAAAATTTCATGCTTAAAATGAGCTTAAAATTTATTGCAAAATTTTCTTCATTATAGTGACCGACAATATATTGGATGAATGACCCACTTTCAAAGTCTGCTGTCATAAAAAATTTTTAAATTTGTATTCCATTATTTGCTTGATAAAATTATTTTCTTTTGCAGATCTGTGTATGATGACGAGAAAGTTCTGGCACTTAGTTTTGCATCCTGCACCACAAACATTATGGGTAATTTGAGCATTATTTTTCCATTCTTGACACGGCCATATCAAGAATACATTGAACTTTCCTTTTGTAATTAATATTGTATAGATTTAATTGATCTACTTTAAAATTCCTATGAATCTAAAGTTCAAACACGAATATTTCGAATATTATAAAAATGGTTTAAATGCACATCCGAATATTATGGAAAAATATGAATGACATTAGAATTCTACAATAATTTTTACACGATTTTTTTCAGGTTTTATTCCGGGTCCAATAATCTTTGGCTGGATTATTGATGAAGATTGTTTGCTGTGGCATAGCAAATGTCCCCATGATCATGGCAACTGTGTCATCTATGACAATAAAGCATTTCGACAAAGTTTCCATTTAACGAGTGCTGGTTTTCAATTTTTGGCTGTCATTTCAGTTGTAATTTGCTATATATTTAGCCGTAAATTCACATTTCCAGAAGAGGAAAGAAAAGAAGAGATGTATGATGAATATGTTGAAAAACAAGCGGATGGATCATATGTTGTACAAACTATTTCATAAGTATTTGAAACATCTTGAAAATTTTATATGTAATTAGGGTCTGAAAAAACTGAATGGATCCCTAATATTTCTTTGTTTGTATTATGCATTATAATTAAAATGATTTAAATTCATTCGTCCAAAAATCTCATTGGAAAAGTTTTTGGACTATTTTCAATATGTTTTTCTTTTTGTATGTTATTGTGCTTTGAATTTCCTCTAATAAAAGCACATATAACTATTACACAGCAGCTCAAATTCTTTCTAACACAAATTTCATATTGCAAAATTAATAAAATATTCGATATCTTACTGTATATTTCAAGGATTACCTAAATTAGTTAATCAGTTTAGATTCATCACGAACAAACATTTTGCTAGTAACCATCTTACTTATACTATTGCGAAAATATTTTTAGAAATGATGCGTAAAGGATAAAGTAGATTTCAAGTGAGTAAGTAGTACAGTGATAAAAGGAATTAGCTAGAGTAGTAAGTTAGAAACGGCATTAAGGACAACAAGAGCATTCAAGAAATCGTAGCCGGAATGGTCGAATTCCATAATGGTGCTTAAAATACCCATAACACAATACGGCGTCCAAAATATCATATTTAATGTGAGCATCAGGAAAGCCTGAAACAATAACAGTTCTTGAATACTTTAATTGAATCTTAAGAATTCAATGAAGGAAAAAAGTAAGGATTAAAAGGAAGTGTGAAGATTTTAGAAACCTATAAAATTATGAAACAGATTGAAATTTACGGACCAAATTAGAATTCGTTTATTTTAGATGGGAGGGAGAGAGAGAGAGAATGAGAGGACCATAATCTGCAAGAAAACTAGACTTAAGTACTGATCCACAAAACTTTCAGTAGTAAATTATAGACTTTGAAATCAAACTTTTCGTCTAGTTTTCCTCCGTGCCAATGCAACCGTATTTTTCCATGCAACTGAAGATCTTCGCTGTTTTGTTTCTTCTATTGCTAAAGACTCATTACGCTGTCGATTAAAAAGCTTCAATGTTGGCATAGACAGCCGATAAATCCGTTTCCTGTTAGATTCACCGTTTATATTAATAGCATTACAATCAGTGGTTTCAGCATTTGTATCCCAATGTGGCAAAAAATCTAAAATTTAAGCTGTTCATAAAAAAAATAAATTTATCATAGTAATGGCTACTATTGTTATCATCATAACCATAATATTTAGTGATACTGTTAAAGACAGTGTAGGAAAAAGATTATGCGATTAACTCTTAACTTTTTGTTTAGTTTGTGTTGCAAAAGTTCCAAACTTACTTCTTGTGTTGGGGTTATTATCAATGGAGAATTTACAAATAGAGTTCCTCGGCATATTTTTTGTTCGCTGAAACCAAAAATGCCTAAAATTGGACAAAATTAATTCTTTTAAGTAATCTTTGACATGAAAATGTGCATCTTTTAACACATTAACTAAGATTGGCATTACAAGAAATCTGATGTGAGGAATCACCAGGTGGAATATTTCCGTTAGTCTAAATCCCTAATATAAATCTGCAGAGAAGCATATTTTGTTAATCTTGCTCTACCTATTTAACTTGAAAAAAATTCAACTTCTATTCCATCATTTTACTGATTCCTATTTATTACAGTCATTCAGTGCTGAATAAATTGTACGCTGTGAGTATTAATTACCCAATAATTTTGTTCCCTTTTATCGAATGAACAACGAACAGTTTGTGCAACTGATCGCTATTTAACAGTTCCGCATATTCTGGGATGTCTTATGCAACAAACTTGAATTGCTTTGTTTTACAGTATTTTGGAAAAGAAAAAATTGTTTATGAGAAAAGACCTTACTCAATTACCGTTCTTGCCGGGTTTTAGTGTCGTTATCTTCTCTGTGAAATTGCTTCATCAGAATTAACATTAAAGCGTAACATAATAACTCGACTGAATACGGTAATATATAAATGGAAAACAAGTGGAGTGCGTTGTAGGCTGAAAAACTAAGAAAAGTGTTAAGCATCACAAAAGCATTTCTTAGAAATCACTGTTGTTTAAAAAATTCATAATCCTTTCAGGACCGTCGATAATAAGCTCCAATTTCCAAGAAATCTAATCGAGTCTTTTCGATCCTAATTTAGGCATCACCTCACGTCACTACTGATTTTGAAGCATATAGGATGTAGTCAGGAAGAAACAAAATCTGATAGCTGACACTCCACGCTTAGGTCGCAATAGTTTGGAAGCTTTCGTTAATGTTAATGTTGAAGCATAACAAGAATAGTCAGAGGCTCTACTTCATTTTTATCAGCTTGGTTCACCTGGAACAACTGAGATTATCTGGAACAACAACTTAGTCAATAGATAAAATGAACAGAATAGTCCAATGCGCAGAGACAAAGTTCTGCAGCACTTACCATGTTCGAGAACTTTCAGCATACTACTATCCACTAATGGATTGATCATATCATCAAAATTTTCTGCCAAAGTTATATTATCATCACTGATAGTGGTCAAACCCATTGCTGTATATTTCAGACGATGCGCTTGTGCCACCTCTTGCTGAACATATTCACGAAACCTCATCACTGTCCTGAAAGAATTCCTGAATTGATGTAAAATTGGCAAGGAAACTTCTTGAAGCAATATGAATTAATCATGTTCAAAAATACTCGAAATATATTTAATTCAGTACCGTTGCAATTTTTGTATTGTAATGAAATGTTCTGAAAGATTTTGAGAGAACAATTTGAAAGGAAGAAAATAAAGATAAGACAAACCAAACAGAGACACACTGTGGTTTACCATCCGGTAAGATATATACATGAAAAACGAAGAGCTGAGGTAGAGCGCAAGCGATCGCAAGTATCCATGCTAACGCTATCATTTGATTTGTTGCAAAATGTGATTTCTGGAAATATTTTCATCAAACCCTATTTATCACGGAAATACCACAATACCACAATATGCAACATCAGAATCATAGAAATAGCACAATTATTTTGCATCTATTTTATGATAAGCTAGAAAAAAAAAAAACAGCTAAAATTTCCAGCAAAAAAAATATATATGGTAAGTAAAAGGTATGGTCATGATGAGGAAAGTAATTTCAGTCATTCGCAGTGCTGAAATAGACAACCTAAAATGGCATGCGTAAGACACAATTTGTAACAAGTATTGATGTTCAAATATAAAAAATATTATCTAAGACGTAAAAAGTTAGACTTGATGAATTTGACGTAAATGTGTTGTGATATATAAACGATCAGCAGCAATAAGCACTTGCATATTGGCTGTTAGATGCAGTGAAAATGTATTAATGAATTTCGTCATACGACATAAAAAATCACCGCCATACCACTGAAAATATCAATCATTTAGGAATGAGTGTTTCACTAAGGCTATTAAAAAAAAAGTCAAAAATGTGACAATTTCAAAGTGGGTGAATTTCTTTAGACTTTTAATTTCACATAATTCTCTCCCAACGTTATCATTGCTTTTTCTTCTGAATTTCTATTTATAATAGATGTGAAAGAGCTTTCCGAAGTAAAATTGTAAATGAATGCTGAATGAAATGTAAAAGAACATTGCTTAACTTGACAAATATTACATTCCAAAAGATGCTCCTTACCTTCCAAAACTTTGAGCAACATTTCCTGATATTGAAAAGTACCAAAGCGAAACTAATGGTGCCTCAAACTACCATTTTTCATTAGACCTAGTCAGTTGTGTTTTTAATAGTTTTGAACAAGGAAAAAAGGAGTGCAACTTACGTTATAAGTAATAATCCAAATGATTTGTGTTGGAGCGTAGACATAAAGTACAATGAGATCTGCTACTGTTAAGCTTATTTTAAATCTTACCAATCTTGCTGCCAAAACAATATGTCTTCTGTAGTTGGAATTAAACCTGAAAATCCCACTTTCTTAAAATTGCCATTATCTGAAGATTAAAAATCATGTATTAAAAAGCTTGGCATTATCAGTTCTTAATTTCAAAATTTTCAAGGTCTTTATCACTTCCGCTTAAAATTATTTCCGTTTTTAATAATTATTTAATTAGATACAATTTCTGTTTTCCAAAAAAATTGAGTGGCAATGCAGCCCTACCTTTCTGCCAACAGTGAAAATAAACAATAAAGAAATGTAAAACATTAGAAAAGAGAAATAAATTCATAACTAATTTCTCTTTCAACCCTTTTTGCTAAATTAATGTTAAATTAAATAAGCAAAGCGCCAAAAGAAGCAATTGAATTGTGTAAAAGCAAATATTCCCAAAAAACTTCGGTTATACTTAGAAAGCAATGAGACAGACAGCTATTTGATTGAAATTAGATTCAAAAAATGTAATTTAGGACACTGGCCACTAACCATCTCTCATTTTCGCACTTTAAATTGAAAAAATGAAATTTTCATAACTGATTCGAAAATCATTCATTCTGATTTCTCAACCCAAAGATATGAACGGCTTGAAATTTTTTTTGTATTTTCATGCCAGAGCGATAATCGTAAGTTAATCTAAGATACTGCGGCTACCTGTTATCATTGATTTACTTAAGAAATTATTCAGATTAAGATATTATCTGCTAATTATGAATGTTGTAGTATTTCTGTACAGTAATCCATAACGGAATATACCTGCGTGACGTATAACAGCACACAATAAGGCCTAATAGCATAGCAAGAGCATAGATGGCGCTCTCGATAGCGTAACTTACTCGAGTAGCCGTAAATTGGTCACTTTCGATGCTTTCATTAGCCATTGTCTCATTTAACAATGCAACTGACCATTACTCTAAAAATTTTTTGAAGAATATAATTCAAAAAGGAACGAAAAAGTTATCGATAAAAAAATCATTTCACCAAAAGTATACATTTATTACAGATTAACAAAAATGAAAGTGAAAGTATTAATTTAATCCCGGGATAAAATTCATAAAATCAGTGGAAAATACAATGAAATATGTAACATCAACAGGCTAAAAATGTTTGAAAAGTAGGAATTGCTATGGCCATATCTCATTCGCTTCAGTTGTATTATTTCTTGATTAAATTGTGTGTGTGTGTGTGTTTTTTTTTTTTATTTTTAGATGATAAATTCTGAACATTGAAATATTTAGTATGTGGTTGATATTTTAATTGAAATGATTAGTATTTTTTATTTCAACATCTGATAAACAGCTATAGTTAGGAAAAAGAAGAAATAAATAGCTATTTGTTTAAGTTGAGATGGGTTGAACTATAGCCGATATGAGAAAATAGCAAATTTTCAGCCTAGATAATTAAGATTGAAAAACAAAGATTAAAGTTTGGATCAAAAAAAAAAAAAATAGTAAATTAAATTTTGCTATAAAATCAAGACATAAGGATTTCTCTAAAGTAAAAGGAAGTTTTAAATTGGTGAATATTTACATCAAGCGTATTTGTGCTAGTCAGCACCATCAGTTTGTCGCAGAAGTTGTCAAGGGATTGACACAAAGCCTTATTACCTCTTTGCCCGCCCTTCTACGTTGATTTTAGACTGTCCTAGTTCTACTTAGGATAAGTATAAAAGTTAGAGAGAATTTAAGGAATCGAAATCAGATTCGAGAAAATGAACTGGTAACATAAAGTACTTTCCTCCTGTAATTTACTAGACTCGTATCTCTATCAAAACAATATGTTTTCCAGTGGTACTGGAAAATTGATGGTGTAGTAGACGTGACGGGAATGGTTCTTCAAAAGACTTTAAATCCCATGGTAGTAAGTAGATGTGACTGTACCAATCAAAACTTCTGAATATATGAAATGAATCTATTTAGCTTTAAATCAAGACTAGCACTTTATCAGGGACAACTTCATTTTATTATATTCTGATATCAAACATTTGGCCATGGTGATCGCATTATTCTATAAGACAGATTGAGGAAGTTGCAACAAGACTAACAATGAGAATGCTCACTTTGGTGTTTCAAAAAAAAAAAAAAAATTTCTTTTCCAAATCAGTTTAAGGTCAATTCGAAATTGCGAACGTAAATATAGCGGTGAAAAGTCGAGCTACCAAATGAAATTCCATAATATCCATTTAAAAGTTAAATTATTTTCTATGTTAACGAGTTGAAATGTTTAAAGTTAAATTTAAATCAATATCGGAATGAATGCTGGTAGAAGAAGCTGGAAGTAGAAAATTAACAATTTCAAAAGATAAGCGGATAATTCAGCAAATACTTAATTGACTCATTTATTTTCTTGCAAAAAAGAAAAGACGGAGAAAAGGCGAAATCACTAACTGAAATTTCATTTCAACTTTATTTTATTGTTTTGATGTTGAAATTAGAGCTTCATTTCTTAAATTAACGCTAACGTAAAATAATGCGCAAAAAGTACAATGCGTAAAAGCGTGACATGGACAAAATTCAAAGGCAGTGAAAAGTGAATGTTTTGGATAAAATGTGATAGTAAATGAGACACCCCGTAAACAAAAGAAGAGACAGGAAAACTGAGCAAATAGTAAACAATAATATTTGCTACATACCTCAATTATTGAAAAAACTTGTTTTCTTGCGCCTGCTTATCTAAGCATTCAGCGCTTTTCATCTGTAACTTCATTATATGTTCTCACTGCTCCTTTTTATCCACATTTTCATTGAATTCTTTCCAATTTCTTATTCAGTTTTAAACTTAACAAATTTTCAGTTATATTTGTTTGGAGAAATCATGTGGGATACAGTTATTAAATATTAAATGTTTGTCTCTCGATTATTTATTTCATCCACCGTTTTTACGGACCACTTATCTGCATAGCACTCAATTTGGTTTCAATGATAGTACTAAGCATTTTATTACTGTTTTTAATTCCGAGGCATCATTTTTACCTAAGTCTGACAATGTATCATCACTGACTACTTGAACATCACTGCAACTTAAGCAAGTAAAATAAGTGAAATCTTGAGGATAGCTATGAATGTAAATGTTCTAATCGCTTCCATATGCTTTATACCAAATTGTGAACTTTCAATACAGTACTTTTTAGATTTATAAGTAGGTTTAACAAAGGAAATACCTTCAAATTTCAAACGTTTAGACAACAATATGACATCATTAGTTAAGGAATGAATAGCACTTAATCACAAGTTGAATTTAAATTTAGAAGCCATCAATGATGAGAAATTTTAAATAACACAGATAGGATAATTTCTTGTTCCTCATTAGAGTGATAAATAAATAATTAAGGACGTACTCAGTAAACCTGAATTGCCTTAACTTAATTTTTGATCACGGAAGTTTGGAAAGTTGGAGGTGCAAAAATCTTAATTCGAAGTTTTCCACTAGAGTAGAAGCGATAACATGATTATTTCGATGAGAAGATATTTGTTAAATGTTTGTTTAATAATAATTACAAACATAACTATAGAAATAATTATTATACTGCTGATAACAGCTTGACCCTGATATCAGCTTTTTTGTCAAACGGTATAAGCTATAGGCAAAAAGGATTAGCAAATGTTCAAAATTTAGTTATACATTATTACAATTAAGGTATTTGTTTATACATAAAAAGATTTTTTAAAACTGCTTAGATTTCAGAGAATATTGATTTAGAAATCTAATTCTTACGTCATGTAATTAATTTCACTTCCTTGTTATGAGCAAATTCGATTGGTTACAGTTAATTAATGGAAATGTCAATTTGAAGACATTTTGCAAAAGTTAAAGTTAAATTTTATGGATTAAAAAGACGTTTTAACTATCTTAGACTTTTATATTTAAAACACTAATGATAATAAATTATTAGTGTACTTTGCTAATGTCCTCTACTACGAATCGAAACTGTTCCTATTAGTGACATATTTTTCAACCTTTTTTTGTTATTTGTCAAGTATTAATTTGTGATTATAATAGTACTATTTATGAACTTTGTTCTCCACCGCAATTATCAAATGACATAAAAATTGAGCATTCGTGGTTCATATCTCATTCTTATCAGTGTTCTTTGCTGATCAAGTTCGAAAAATATTTTCTCAAAAAGTAATATTGTTTCCAAAAAGTGAATAAAATTAAAAATTCTACCCACAGAATTACATTACGATAGTAACTGCCATTGCTTGTATTCCTGTTGTAATTCAAATTCCTTTCAGATAGAAATATCTGCTGTCAGTTGCATTGAAGCAAAGCATCAATTGATTTTTTTTTTTTTTTTTTTTGTGAATAAAAAACTTGCATAAAGTATTACTAAACTGTGAGTGAAAATTCGTCAGATTTTAGAATTACCCTCTTCCTCAAACTTTATAGGGAATCCTGTGTATATAATGTCTTCTCCTACCTTCCCCTCTTCTTTCATGCCTCTTCTTGAAATTACAAATCCCTTTTTGCCAAATAATCCATTCTTCCCACGAAATTGCCCTATTTCATTACTTCTTCAATATTTTTTTAAAATTAAATCCTTAGGCATACAAAACTATCAGTTATTTTCAACTTAGTATATAGATATCAATGAAATGGCAGAAAGCAACAGAGTTATGAATGAATTAAACACTAATATAATTATATTATAAACTATCTATACATGACCCGCGTTATAAATTATACTTTTATCAACTTACGTTAATAAGAACAACTTAATTCTCTAATGAACAGTTAGCGATATGCATCCTTTTGCCTATTCCAGTATTCAGGTAAAATTAAAAGGAACTCAGTTCTAAACTTTGAGTTTTGTTCAAATTACTGGTTAACATTAAGGATGAAAAGTTAAATATATTATATTTGATAATTACCGGTAATCTTTAATAGATGGATTAAAAATTGCAAATGACCCATCCTGAACACGGAGCTTTTTTTACAATGAAAGAAATATATTGAAAGAAATTAAATTTCGTTTAAGCGGAAAAGATCTGATAATCGTTAAGGGAAGAGATGATATTAATTAAATTGCATCTGCATGAAAAGAATATCATAAGGACTAGCAGAAACAGTATGAAAATTGAGTAGCTTTCCGTAGTTCTACTTCCTTAATTACAATTTTTCTGTTGAATACAGCAGCTTCAATTATCATTCTAAACAAAGAAAATTTTCTGAATTGAATAAAATGATCCATATTATTCATCTTGCATCTTGCGATAGTTGAAACTGCTAATTTTAATGTTAGCATGTCTATCTTGATTTTTCTTCTGAGAAATGTAAAACTAAAACATTTAGCAAAAAAGAAAACAAATAACTTTGCAAGCTCGATATTATTATCCCTTATAAATTATCTTAATAATCCTTTGCCTGAACAATTATTATATCAGGTCTAAATCAAAAGAGATATGAAATTATTTGGCAGAAGATACTATCTGTGTCTGTGCAATTATATTCCTAAATATTTTAAAGACTAATAAATGCTATCTATCTACCTGGTGCACTTGCGCTGCTGCATCCTCTAAGTGCACATATGCGCACCTACACACGAGGATAAATTCCCGGAAACCTGTCTACAGTAACCAGCAAAGTAACCATGACACCTCCTATGCACGTGAATCTTAACCACTCTTTACCACACATCAGCGTTTCACGCAATCATTGCATATCACAGATAGCTATCAACGGATAAATTAATTCCATATTCACTTCTTGCACCGATGAGATGATTTTTTTATTCTTTCTCGTATCAATCAGGCTCTATAGCTGTCGTTCCCACTTGTCACTCATACTTTGCGATTAGTATCGGGAATTAACTGAAATAACTTCCTGAATCAGAATTTAGTTTTTTCTTTTCAATTTTAAAAAATTTTGAAATTGAGAAAGA